GCCCCTCTGGCAGTACCGTGAGCTCACGCAGGCCTCTCCTAGGCCCCTCCAGCACCACTGCCACGGGCTTGCATGGACCGCTCCCAGTCCCCTCTGGTGCCGCCGCCACAGGCTCGTGCGAGCAGCTCTGTCACTGCCACTGCTGGCCCACCTGGGCCAGTCCCAGGCCACTCAGGTGCTGCCACCATGGGCTTGTGCAGGCCACTCCCAGGCCCCTCTGGTGCCGCCTCTCCAGCGTGCACTGCCACTCTCCCACTACTGGGCTAGTGTGTCGAGGTCCGTGCCAGTTGGGGGAATGACTGGAAGGCTGCTTATCACTGAGAAGGGCTTCAGAAGTCACCTAGAGTTCCCCGGATTCCCAGGTGCTGGGGTGCGTGTGTTGGGACGACTTCATCCAGCTGTGAGGTCCCTGTCCCTTTAAGACTTGCAATAAGCACTCACTTTTCTTTTGTCTCAGGGGTGCTGGTTGTGGGGACCTGCTCGCAGGTTTTGCTTTTCTGTTTCTCTAATACCCAGCACCCTGTGCACCGTGAGTCTATGCTCCTGGTGTGGATTTCTAGAGCTGGTTGTTTAGCAGTCCTGGGCTTTCACTCCCTCACCACTCCGACTCCTTTCTTCCCACTGGGGGCTGGGGATAGGGGGCAGTTTGGGTCCTGCTGGGCCATGGCTTATATCTTACCCTCTTCGTGTGATGCTGAGTTCTCACAGATGTAGATGTAGCCTGGCTGTTGAACCGTATCTACTGGTGTCTCTTTTAGGAATAGTTGTATTTGTTGTATTTTCAAAAATATATATGTTTTTGGGAGGAGATTTCTGCAGAATTACTCATGCCACCAGCTTGGCTCCTTCCTATTTATCTATTTTTGAAACAACAACATTGTTTAAACTACAGTCATGTATTAGAGATATTGGGTAGTTTCTTTCTACATCAAAAGCAGACTGAATGGGTCCAAATCATGTTTCTGCCACTTCCCTCATGTATGAGCCTGATTAGTTCACCTAATTGGTCTGTGCTTCAGTCTTCTTGAATTTCAAATGGAGAAATATTATTCACCTCATAGAATTAATACATCTTATCTATGTAAAATTATTGTAAGAGTGCTGAACTCTTAAGCATTAAGTATGCAATAAACAATACTAATTTTATCATTGAGCTGCAAATAGCTCACAACTGAGCCTCCCCAGAAATTTGCCTTCAGAAATGCTACATCCTGCAGGCAATTTTGACTGGGATACAAAAACTTGCCCCACCCCAAAGTGTGACAACTCTATGGTGCCAATCATGCTCCAGAACTCACTGCAGGATCACACTGAGACCACATCTTTACCTGGCTTCTCCCCGAATCCTATCCTGTTTTCCTCATATGTCTTCCATGTTTCTTCCCAGACACTCTCAATAAATCACCTTTCTCAGGCTCTACTTCTTGGAAACTCAGTCCAAGATAATTATTGTGTTGATCTACTCTTTCTGGACTTCACTTTTTTTTTTCTTCCATATTAAGAGCTCATTGCAGTTAACTTCCAAAACATAGGTCTTTGTACTCTCATAGTTTCACACTTAGTGCTCAATTAGTGCCTTTTACAGGTTTCTATTTGTTGTATATTTATTGGCTTAATCTTATGAACTTCCTAAGAGTAAATGCGGCATGTTTTTCAGGACTCCACAGGACACAGCACAAGGTCTCACATATAATAAGGAATAAGCTATTCAACTTGATTTCACTTGAATATAAAGTGCAGGGTTGTGCCATATGCATATAATAGCACTCTCAGAAGCAAATCTCCCATGGAAAGCAACGACATGAGTGCACTTATACTTTGTAGATCAACTAACAAATGACACAACACAAATGACACTTTTCCTATTCCAAGCTGCTGTTTCATCTGTTCACTTACAAAGTTTACAAATGCTCCCTTTCAGTTGTTTCTGCCTCATTCTTAAACATCTTTACAACAGACTTTAAAATCCTTTACAACAGACTTTAAAAACAGATTCCATAACTTACTGGAAAATGAATCAGGCAAGAAACTGACCATTAAAAACCCTTTTGGCATGAAGGAAATTACTTTCAACACAAAACACTCTCCACAGACAGCCACTGTATCCTTGAAATGTAGCTTAAAATACTATTATCTACAATGCATTCACAATTCAACACATTGATACATTTGACACTGCTGCCCAACAGAGGCAAAAATACTCAGAGGATAATTTTGGAATAGACAACTGACACCTCATTATTTCACAGAGTAGGGCCAACAAAGATTAAGTGGAAATTTTAAATGAGGAGGTATTTGCAAATGAAGCAGTTGTCTGATTGAGTCTAGCCTGTATCTAGTGAAATGACTGGAGGGGAGCTGAAACACAAAACCCAGTGAGCTCCTAGATGATAGCAAATGGATGGGCTCATATACATGTGGCATTCTCCCAGCTGCAAATGTAAGATGTGAATCTATAATATTCATTTACCATATCCACATGTGTGTGCAAATGGAATATCTGATGTAATAAAAGAGAGACTTCTGATTCCTTCACTGTCGTAATTGGCACATTTATATTCATGCTTCTCCTTTTCATTCTTACCTAGTGCTAGTCACCAGAAGACGCTAGGCAGGAACTTTGATATTTTAAGTGTTGTTTTCCTCTGTAACTAGGGAGAAAGCCCATTTAGTTACTGAAGTTTAAATATCCTGCAGATAAGCAATAAATGAAGAAAAAAATATGCCAAATGGAGCATTTTTCTTTTTTAACTTCAAAACTCAGATAAAAATGAGCACCTTCAAAGCCAAAGAAACAGCCTGGCAAGAATGCATGTTTAAAGCTGATCTGATTTAATCAAATAATTGAAATTGGAATGTCTGATCTATAAAATATGAATTTAAAAAAGACAAACATGGTCACATTTTCCTCTCTCTGAGAAACAAAAAATGTGGGTACATGCTATGGTTTTATTTTTAGCCAATAAGCGAAGAGTGGCTCATCTATGGGCAAAGACATTCTTAAATTTGCTATTTAAACATCCACATATACTGATAGTTACCTAAAATACATAGAAATTTGCCTCTGAGACAGGAGTTACAGGACTAATTTATTGGATAGTTTTAAGCACAGTTTGAACAATAATCCATTTTCCTCCCTCCTAAAAAAAGGTCTTAATGAAGCAGTGAAAAGCATTTTTTTCTTGTAATTAAGCACCACTTGCAGTCTCTGCAGTGATCACAAGTCTCATTAGTATCCAATGAAATTTTGCTATCAACCACATTAAGCAGAGACTATATATATATATATATAGTCTCATGTGTTCCATGTGCTTGCATCTTTTAAGAATTCTTTGCAGTCTGATTTGCAGAAATTTATGTTAGAAATATGAAATATTTTCTTCCTGAGAGGTACAGGGAGGGAGGGGTTGGGAGACAGAGTAAGTTATGTTAGGCAATGGTGAGCTTACAGAAAACAAAAACCATCTTATTTTTGATAGGCAGTTTATTACTTCTTCCACTGATGGTCTTCCTGTTCCATAAAGGAGAAGACAAAGACTTTAAGAACATGTCTGATAAACTGAGCTAAGCAAAAGAACTAAACATGCTTTAAATAATTTGTTGAAAAATTTAGTCCCATGTCTTAAGTAAATATAGTTTAACATACAAGAGATTCTCAGAAGCACATTTGAAAAATTTTAAATACTTTTAGGGCACAAATAGAATTATAAATATGTCAATCTAATTTTCATAGTAGACTATACATTTCTAAAAGGTAGGAGCTCTTTTGTCCAACTTTATATTTTTAAAAGTGTTTATCACTATAGCGTTCTTTCTTTTTCATTAAACAAGTGAGGGCTTAATGTGTTAAGTGCTGAATAAATGTTTACTGAAACAAAAAGTATTTTACTACATGTGGCAGATGGACCCTAGAGTGACCTCCAGTAATTACCACCTCCTTGTATTAACACCTTTGTGAATCCCTTCCCACTGAATGCAAGTGGGACTTGTGACTTGTTTCTAATCAATAGAATATGCAAAGATGCAGCAGGTTTCTCCCACGATTAGGTTAAATTTTCTAAGGCTGTAGCAGACTTGTGGGAGAGACTCTCCTTGCTGGCTTGGTGAGGTAATCAGCTATTCTGGAAAAATCCACGTGACAAGAAACTATAGACAGCCTCTAGGAACTGCTGGACTCCAGCCAATGCCAGAAAAATATTAGCCTCTTTCACATACAGTTACCAGGACCCACCCAATGTGCCTTTTAAGAATTTGAAAAACAGTTTAGGATTTAACAAAATGTCTTGCTGTATAGCGAAGTTATTCTTGATCCTTCGTGAGAAATAAAGTCATAAATCATATAATTTTTTGAGTTTAGGTTCTAGAAGTTGCAAACACAGGCTTATACGACCAGACAGGGAGTATAAATAGGCAAAGCAGATCAGCTATAGAAAAACATAGTAGTGCAAGGGACGCATAAGTGGCAAGTAACATTACGCCTCAGTGTTAGGAATCTAATAAGGAGCAACCGGACTGTAGCACACTGGAGAGCACATGCCCCATCTAAACTGGCTCAGCAGCTTCTTGCATACAAATGATTGTTGGTCCAAGTGTCACCAGATACTGAGTTTTTTAAAAAAACAAAACATGAAATATTATTAGGGAAAAAAATCACCTTATCTTTAAACACTGAAAAACTAATTATTTTAAGTTTTTAAGGCCTGTCTTAATAACAAGGTGCTGTTCAAATATACAGGCACTCTAATTTGACCCAAGCCCTCATTTAGAGCTGAGGAAAAAAAATATCCAATATGGGTAAATTACCTGTAAAAAGTCCTACAATTAGGAAATAGATTATAACTCCAGCTCACACATTTGGAAACTATAATATGAAATTAGAAATTAAGGAATCACATGTAATCCTTCTAGAGTATAAATTATTAATTTTTGTCAATTGACTACAAGGTACAGTTAATTTTGTAATGGAAATGACAAGCATATGAAGTTAAAATGCTCTTTTTTTCTTTATTTAGACATTCAAGAGACAAAAATGAAATTCATCCAGTCTGAGCATGGTAAATCATTATTTACCAGCCATCTACAAAGCTAACATTGTTTTAATTATTCATACACCTCAGAGAGAGGTTGTCAGCTCTCTCCTTTGTCTGAATCACACTGCCTTCCACTAACAGAGAGTGAATGTCAAATCATAGCTGGGCCTTCTTGGGATACAGCCAATTAAGGGCTTCACAGTAAAGGTATTCCTCCCCAGGGTTCACAAGGGGTAACAGGGCAAAAGAAATGCATCATCCCATCTCCATGTACAGAGCCACCCAACTTTCTACTGAGCTCCAGCCTTGAATTATGAGTTGGTGGCATATGGCTCAGATTTCAGAAGGTCTGATCATTTCAGTGATAATTGCCTACGTGTGAAAGTGTGGATGATCAATAACATTAGTGTGTCCCAGGGTGGTCACACATTCATATGATTTAGACTCAGGCAAACTGACTGGTAGATACACTTCCTACAAATGTGGAAGATTAAAAAAAGTAAGAAATACATCAGCAGCTGCTTTTACTTTTCAGGGAAATTCAATTGATTTTTAGATGTATATTACACAGCTGTGGTTTATTTAATAAAATATTAATTAGTTTGAAAATGCAGCTGAGTCATTATTTATACCAATTGAGGGAGTAATAATATAGTCAGTCTAAATAGTGACTAAACAAGCATTGGAATTGGTTTTGGGATACACTAAAGAATTTTTCACTCCTCACATGTACTCTGCTAAATGTTTATTGTAGGGATGAGTCACTAAAGAGTTCTAGAGGGAAAGGGGAGTCACTGGGAAAGCAGCCAAACATATTTTAATTGGATTGGTTGAACACCTCCCATTCATTGAAAAAAAAACTGGGGGCTATTGACATGCCCTTTTGAAGAAACCTTCATTTAATTCAAATTTCTGGTTCTTAGCAGGGCATCACATCCCCTATACACAAAAAGAAAAAAAAGTTAGAAAAATTAATCATTTTTCTTTTTATATTTAAAAATGTTTATTAAAGTAATGTGTGAACAGGCTCAAATCAAAAACACAAACTAGTAGAGAAAGCCTTACTTTGAACAGCAATAAATTGTCCTACTTTTTCCATCCCATATTCCTGATTGTTTCAGTTGTAATGTTGATGATCAACAAATCTTAAAAGAAAATCTCATCTCCTTACTTGCAGATATGTTAACTTTCCTATATCATTTATTGACTGTTTGCTGTAATAAATGAGGATAAACCTGAGCAGGAATACTCTGGTTCATAATTGGGTAGAGGTGCTCAATCTTCATCCTATTTCTCTTTGTGGGGTAACACTTCAAAACTAAGAGGAAAAGCATTTAACTAGTAGCATGCTTTTCTTGACAGAATGTCTTTTATCTCATTGTCAAGGACTCTCTCCTACACTAGGCATCAGTGATTTGGGATTCTACAGAGATTTTAGAATGTTGAAATTGAAGAATATGATTGAAGATACTAGTTAGCAAGTCAAAACTATTATCTTCTCTTTCCTTCTGTTTCTCCTAGTTTGAACCCCAAGCAAACCATTCTAAGAAATGTTTTAGGGATTCCCTTATCTAGAATATTAAATGATGCATTTTAGTTACAGAGTTTAATTAGCTCTGTATCTTCTTGACTTCTTTCTTTCTCATCTGAGTTTTAGCTTCACTCATGGGTTTGCCCAAGGTTCAGGTTACACTTTTAGTTATTCTACCTATTGGACTGCCTTGTCTCTGCACCATAATTCAACCATCTGATTATCATCAACAAATTATTCTGTCTTTCTACTATAACCTCATTTCATTTCTACACAGTTAGATATGCTGTACTGGAAAATATTGACCACAAGGAACCGAAAGCCTGACTACCATTTCTTGATTTGAATGTGTGGCCTGGGACATATCTAGAATAAGAGAGGATTGAATTAAATGAATCCTAAGCCCTCAGTATCTGCCCTACTTGATGCAGTCACAGTGATTAGCTTCATGGCACTAGGGGCTGACATTTAGTCCCTGTGAACCACTGTGGCCACACCAGATTCTAGGCCAGCATCTGTGCTAATCAGTCAGTGTATTCACCCAATAAACATGTATTGAACTCCTAACTGAAGAGAATTAACTGCTAGGTCTGAATCGTTATTGAATAAAATATATATTCGAAGTCAGAATCCTGGGTTTGCTAGCAACTTAATGTGTAACATCAGCCCAATCATTTAATATCTGAGTTTCAGTTTCCTTATTTGCAAAATGAGGGATACTCATAATTCTTGTTCAATTGTTCAAGTAGCCATTAATGATTACACTGAACTCAGGTGTAATTTTTAAAGTTACAAGGGAAGTAATATTTCTATAAAAGCAATATAAGCAAAAAGTCTAAAATTATAAATATGAGTAACACTAATTTCATGGGTAAAAGTCATTTACTCTCTAAATAAATGTCTATTTATGTAATCTCATTTTCCAGTTTCTAGCCATACTTATATATGCAGTTATAATTGGAGTTTTAGTCTTGAGACGAGATTTTGATTTGCCATAGCAAAATACAAAATATGATCTTAGAAATAAATAATTCCATTAAACTCTGCCAACCACAATTCTACCCTTTCTTCAATGCTCCAGTCAGGTTCTAACTCCTCAGCAAACAGATGAGCATATACTTTATTCCAGGTTTGTGTGAGCTACCTGGCATACCAAATGTGTCAAAAATTATCTCACCTTCAAATAGTTTAAAAACAGTCATGTAACAAGCACAAAATTCTAATATGAGTCTAAACAGTCATGGTTTGATAACTCTATGTAGTGGCCTTGCAGGAGTGGCCACTGTGGGGTGTCACAGAAAAGGGCTGTCAAAGGAGATTAGATGTAAATGTCCTTGGTTTTATATATTATTACATATATACATATAATATTACTTTGATTAAAAATCAAGTTAATATATACATGTACAATGATATATACATACACACACATATATATATATATAATACGTAAGTATATGTGTGTTTATGGGTGTCTGTATTTAGTGTGAGTACAAGTGAAAAGAAATGAGGACTCATTTTCATTATTAAATTAAAAGGGTTAATACATACAAAGTGCTTAGAACAATTCCTAGTATACAATAAGGGCAAGGTATTAGGATATATGGGAACATTCTGATGTTGAGAAAGACCTGTGCACCAGTAATAGTAACGAATGATTACTGAGCCACCTCAGACTCCAAAGCCCTGACGCTCTTGCCTCTCTTTCCTCGCACACTTGCCAAACACAACCCCGCTGGATGGGGTTACAGAACATGGGGTGGGCATAAGATCCAGTCAGGCCAATCAAAATACCTTACCTGCTTTGCTATTTCAGGTTGGTCTCCCAGGTAGTTGGTAATACTGGCTGAGGCAGATCTCTTCTCTGGATTCTTCTCAAATCTGTCATGTCTATGTTTGCCAACAATTTAAAAGTATTAATTTTTTTCATGAAATAAGAAAAAAAAATATTATCTGTGGGGAGAGATGTCATTGCCTGACAGGAGATAATATTTTTGAATAAATTAGATAAGATCCCAGGAACAGAGCAACCAGATACTTGTAGAACTTTAAAATATTTTAACCTCAGGAAATACCTGTAATCATGCTTTTAACATGAAATCTGTGGAATGAATTTTGAGATTTAAGAATATTATTTATTTTTCCTGTGACAATTTTCTTGGAATTGTAATAGTATACAGTTTCTGACTTGTACTTCTAAAAGCTTGTTGCAGACAGGATTTCAATTTCATTACAAGAGACTAGCACTTGTTCAATTTAATTGTATATGCTCTTTGCAATCTCTCCTTAACAAATTCTTTTATAGCATGTCTCCTGAAAAAGTACAATATTACTTGCTAGAAAACAAAAGCCTCTTTTATTAGCTTTTTTAAATCATCAATATAGAGTGTTTATCTTATTATATAAAAAAAGCTTTCAGAAAGGAAATGTTGCTTTTAAAATGTTGAGTCTGGTAACAGGACAAAAGAATGAGTCTTTTTTAATTTATAAGAAAAGACAGAGATTTTTATGTTGTAGAGAACAAAGGCCTCAGAAATACTGCCTGCCATGGGACAAATCTCAAAACCTTTCAAGAAACAATTAAGCAAGGTACAGTTGAATATGCTGCACTATGAAAATGCTGAATTAAAAATCCATGGTGTATCCCCACTTCACTGCAGGTAAAGCTGCTGCTTCTTTTCTAATGAGGAATCTTCAACTAGAAAGCTTTCAGCCAAAAATAATACTCCTTTCTCTAACTGAAGATATTGGGAAATAGGCATTATCTGAGTCAGCAGAGAGGCTGTTTACCAGATATTAGAGGGAGATGATATTATAATAAAAACCTCTCAGTCTTGCAGTCACAGTTTCAGTTCAGCCCTGACCCATAAGCAGGAAATCCACCTGCACTGTCTTGGTGCCCCTCTGGCTTTTCTCTCAGTCTTGGACTGCTTTACCTAGTCCAGACTTACTTGGACTATAGTCTCCACTGCACACTTACAGACCCTTCATGCTTAGTCTGTGTTTTCAATTGCTTTATGGCACAGTCATACTGGTATTCTGTACTCTTAACTGTGTAGATTATATTAGGCAATTTTTATTAACAATTAAAAAAGACAAACTTAATTAGTTTTTACAGCCATGTGACTAACCAATGCAGGATTTGCAGAGGAGAAAATGAAAACAAACCAAGAACCATGCACTAAAAGAATGAAAAAATGAATGCAGTATCATACCCTTGAATTAGGAGATTGCTGACTACACCAAAATAGAGCCATCAGTAAACCAGAAGGTTGTGGTGGGACCTTGTTGTAGGTACTGCTGTGAAAGGATTAATGAAGGACTGATTCAGAAATAAGATATCAAAAGTATCTGAATAAACTAGCAGTGATCCATAGCAAGATCAGCAAGCCAAGTAAAAGCCAAAGAACACTTTTAAGACTTTATAGGTACTTCTAAGCAACCACCACCAGCAGCTAAAACACTGGCTCCAGTCCCCAGAGAAAAGCAATGATCCTGATGTTTATTATGTCTTAATTACCAAGCACAAGCTGGTGACTTTGCACTAAATGCCTTTAAGTTTGTGAAAATCTGGAGAGCTGGCCTGAGGCTCTATCACCAAGATAAGAAGCCCATAGTTTTCTGTATTTCCCTCCCCGCCTTTCTGAATTGACAAAATTTCACCCTCTGTTTCTCCATCTGCACATCAGGGAAATTGCAGCAGCCACCAGCCTAATTCATGGAGATATATGAGTTTTTAATGAGAATATTTGTGTAGTGCTTTGAGCTTCTAGGGAAACTCGCTATATAAATACTAACTATTCTCAGGATAATATTAGCACAGTCTATTGAATAAAATAAGGGATTTTATTAAAGATAGCTAATAAGAAAAATGGTTCTTCAGCAAAAAATAAAAAGACTCTCAGGGGATTACCCTTGGAAACTTTAATCTGTCTCTTTCTCATATTTCTGTTTTAGCATGAATGACAAGAGTGGGGAATTTAGGACTATTTCCCACTCAATAGAAGACTCAGTAAATCAGAGAGCACATTTACACCTGGGTATTTATTTTGGATCTGACCTCTCAACAAGGAAAGAGAAACACACTTGAGGCTTTTATATTTAGATTTAAAATATAAGTAAGTTAGTAAATAAATAAATAATCCAACACAATGAGAGAAATGCCTAATAGTGTAGCTCATTCACTCTTGAATTAAATAATCTTTTCTTTAGGAGCCATGTCTACCTTAAAGGCAAAAATGAAGAGTGGGATGAGTTAGGAGACAAAGGGAGAGAGGAAGACCACATGCTAAAAATAGAAAAGTAAAAGTTAGTGGCTATAGCAGTAGCAAACATCCACTCTACACTTCACAGGTAACTGCCATGCCAAATGAGTTTCATTTATCCCACAATGTTTAATGCCAGTGTTATTACATTATCCCCTATATTAGTTTGCTAGGACCACCATAACAAAGTACCACAGGTGGGTGGCTTAAAAAACAGAAGTTTATTTTCTCAAAATTCTGGAGGCTAGAAGTTGAATACCAAGGTGTCAGCAGGGTTGACTTTTTTTTTAATACCCTTTCCCTTGATTTCTGGATGGCTGTCTTCTCCATCTGTCTTCACATGGTCTTTCCTTTGTGTGTCCCTGTGTCTTTATCTTCTCTTTTTATGAGGATACCAGTCATACTGGATTGAGGGCCCAACCCCACATGTCCTCACTTAACCTGAATTATCTCTTTAAAGGCCCTATATCCAAATATGGTCACATTCTGAGCCATTAGGGGTTAGAACCTCAGCATATGAACTTGGGATGAGGGGGGCACAATTCAGCCACTAATAACCCCATTTTATGATGAAGAAAATGATGGTAAAAAGGATAAGTGGTTTTTTTTAAGGACTGTAGGCCCTTTAAACCAAACATCCCATGGCTTGGACTTAAGTCCTGAGTTCTCTCTGAGTCCCCCACTCTCATGGGATGGAAAGACTACAAGGGTTTGAGTGCTGGTGAGGAGCACAAGTCAGACATGATCTTAGATACCTTCAGGAGACATAAGAATTCAGCCCTAGTTATTCATTAAAAAATAGACAGTTTTAAGGAAAAAAGTGTTACATATCACTTCTTGCCATTCACAAATATCCCTAAACAACTAAAAAGAGGCAAAGAGAAGCTTCATAAATTCCAGAATTGAAGAGAAATTATCTTCATATACTTAGATATCTGATAATGTAGCTGACTGATTACAAGTTACCTCTAGTTTTTTAAATTAGTCATAGGCTTACAACAATAACTTGGAAGGAAGAAAAAAAAAGAATAACTTAGGGGAATGGCAACAGGGAGAAAAAGATTAACTGGAAATGACAGGGGTAGTTATTATAACTATTACTTTGTCATTCAATACCTAGAATTGAGAGCTCCTTTCAGAATATTTTTTCCAACCCCATGCCCATTTTGATAATTGTCATACTACCATGTCTTACTAGAAGATTTTACCACAGGAGAAAGAGTAGATATGTCTTCTACTCTGTTTCATCTACCACCTCCAAACATGGGAGGGTCGATTATCAGGATAGAGTTTTTAGCTAAACATCTCAGAAATGGAGACAGATGTCCAAAAAGAGTGTGAAGATAAGGAGCCCAAGTGGCAGCTCTAACAGCAGTTAGTTGGATCTCATTTTCCCAAAATTCATTCTTTACTCCTTTTGCAAAATGATCCCCCATTGCTTTTTCTCAATGATCTATGTCTGTAAGCTCTACACATTGTCTGCTATCATTTTCATTTATTGTATCTACAAAATCCTAGAGAAAAGGAACATGCCCACCCTTTAGGTCAAACAGAAAAAGCAGGCATCATCAGACCAGTATATACTCTTAACTCAACTACTGACCAGATCTCTGAGTCTTACTTTTTCATCTATAACTTGCAAATAATAACTCCCACAGGAGCATCTTCATGGTGTAACATCGTACAGGGGCCCTAGTCTTAAAGGGTCCTGTGCTTGGTTTAATGCTCTCTGTCATGGTCTTGAAATCGTAAACGTTTTTGAACAAGGAGCCTCACATTTTCATTTTGCACAGGATCTCACAAATTATGTAGCTGGCCGATCCTGTATACCTGCTGTGTCCACCTCAGAAAGCTGTAAAAACTATTACAAATAAAAGAATACTCTAAATGTGCAGGCCAAGTTAAAAGTTAATTTTCATTCTATGAGAAAAGAATATTGCAAAAGTACCTACAAATGAGACTGTCAGTGAAAACAAAGCCTGGAGCAGGCATCTAGCCCCTAGCCTCTCAATAATATCTAGTTGGCTTGGGTAAAGAATTTTGTCTCTTCATACCTGTTACCTCCTCTGAATAGGGCGCATTTTTAGTTCTCTTTTCTGGTTAACATTAGTGCCAGCTGGAGAGACTTTTAAAATCCCAATTCTTGAGTCTTACCCCTGAAAACTCTGATTTAATTGTTCTGGGGTACCGCCTGGATGCACCTTGTGTTCTGGCATTTTTTTAAAGTCCCTAGATGGTAACAGCGCAAAGCAACTAGAAGCTAAGTGTAGATTGGTAGACTACTTTGGAAAACAAGTGGTTGTGTTCACTAAACTGACACATACATATACCATGGTCCAGCAATTTCATTCCTGGATATATGCCCAGCAACATGTTTGTGTATTCACCAAAATATTCATGAAGTTATATTTATGGCAGCACTATTTGCAATAGCCAGAAACTGTAATCTACCCAAATGCTCATCAATAGTAGACGAGGTAAATAAATGGTGGCATACTCATAAGGAGTATTAGATAACAATGAGAATGAATGTATTACTGCTATTAGGAGACTCATATAGTATTGAGCAGGAAAAAAAATCGACAAAAGAGCTAATACATTATTATTACATGGATGGAAACTGTA